GGGGGGGGGGTGGTGCAGCAGCAGTAGGAGTGTGGTGGCGGCAGGAGCACGGTGGCGGTAAGTGGGGGAGTTCCTGCAGACACCACCAGTGCTGTCGGTGGCAGGAGGGGAGGGAGTTGCAAGCGCTGACCAGGGGTTGGAGACTACCTGCAGATGCCACCAGCAGCATCGGCAGCGGCCAGCAGGTATTGTAGATTACCTGCAGGCACACCTTTTTGTAGGGGGTGCACTGCCACGTTCAGGGGGTGCACGTGCACCCCCTATGCATCGCCCCTGGCTCTTTGTAATCTCTTTCCCATTGCTTTTTTCAGCTAGTTCCAGTTTCCTATGAGGTAAAACTAGATGACCCAGTGGTCCCTTCTGGCCTGAAAAACCTAGAACTCCTTTGTTGCTTTAGCTTTTAGTTCTGCATTGCCTCATCTGATTCCCATTTCTTTCTTGACTCCTGGTCCTTGGCCCCGTGGCAATGCATAGAGGGTGCGTGTACACACCCTGAGAGCACTAGTGCACCCCCTGACAGGCCGTGCTCCCCACTTAGGCGATGGGCGGGGGGGCAGGCAGGAGCACCAGTGCTCCCTGTGAAAGTGCTGGCCGAGGAGTGGGGGTGCCACATGAAGTGCCGCTGGCACTTTTGGGAGCACCACTGGCACCTCCCCTGCTGGTCAGCATGATTGATTGTGAGGGGACCTTCCCCACATTACTCAGGTGGCACCAGTTGCCCATGGCTTGGCCCTTACCTGGATACTCCCAGTTCCCAGAGCCACACCAGCAACCAGCCCTTCCCCAACCTCCTGTCCAAATACTTTAGAATCAGACATCTTTGAGTGGGTAGTGGGGAAGGTGCCTGGAGAGTATGAGACTGGGTCCATGTTCTCAGTTCCTATACCCAGACCTCAACTACAGAGGCAGGGAGCAACAGCATGAGGAAAAGTCCTTCATGATCAAGATGGCCTCTTATGCTGCATCCTGACATGCAGGCACGTGCAGTTTGCAGCACCACAAAGCATTTGTGGTGGCACAGACTGCATGCCTGGAACATTAAAACATACCCTGTGCTGCAAATTTGTGGCACAGGGGCAAAAATAGATACCAGAATTTTCTGGTAGCAAACAAAAAACACCAAGAAAAAAAGCAGCACAGTGCATGCTACAATAGTGCACGCTGGAACAAATGGAGGCTTGGTTCCCCAAGGAGATGCTCTGGCTACTGGCCAGAGCATCTCTATTCTTTCATTTGTGCCTGGTTGCTTCAGCATGCTGGGAGCTGGAGGCTGGGAGGAGCAGGGAAAGGCCAGTTTGCCTGAGGCAAGACAATTTGCCCCTCACCAAAGTAACAGCACAAATTTGTACTGTTACTCCTACTATTGTGCTGCTGTAAGCACACACCCCTGCACATCTGAACATGGCCTTAGTGATTAAACTTGCTTATCTAGAAGCATGTGCAAAAAACATAGTCAAAGTCTCATGACTTGCTCAACTTTGTGCAGACTTCTTGGTTGTGGATGTTTGTGTTTGTTGAAGTGACAGACTGGGAGTATGGTAGAAGAATGAGATGGTTTCCTTTACTATGAAGCCAATTATATGTCAGCTATCCAGTACAGTAGTTTTGGCTTCCATTTTAAACCAGGGTAGTAGCCACAGCATAGTCAGATCTGACCAGATGTGTAACAAAGGCACAATTTATTACCTAAAAGACCTCTATCTGAAAACCCCTCAATTATCTTAATCCCAGGAACTTCTTTAACACATGACGCCACTCTACAAAGCAAGAGGCAGTGTATTACTGAAAGACATTACAAGGCCCTGCTGGCTATGGATAGTTACTAGAAGACCACATCTATAATGAGAAAACAGGGACAAGTTTAAAATCTGAGGCAAGGGCAGAAGTATGTACAAAATAATCAGAAAGTATTGCTCAGGCAAAAGGGAGCAGTGCATGGTACTCGGCAGCACAGATGACCTCTTGATATGCTCAGTCACCTAAACAGACATTATAAAGCCTATTTTCATTTGGTAGAAGATATTTGGAAAAAAAGTACATTACTAGTGGAGTGGACTGATAGTCTCCTGTATTTGCCAACCTGAGCCTTAAGTGTGTGTGTGGGGGTGGGGTGGGGTAAAGAAGGACCAAGACAGAGAAAAAAATAAAGTAGGGGAGTAAGATATCATTAGGGAGAGAAGTAAGATATTGTTAAGGAAGGAAGGATGGACCCCTCCCACTCACTGGAACACCTCCTTCCCTCTCCTTACCTTTACTACTGGTATTTCACATCGTTTCCACACCTAGGATTACATGGACAAATAGAGTTTAAGGCTACCACAAACTGCTGGCTGTCCACAACAAAAGTTAGTCAACCTGACATTTCCACATGAGATAATATTCTAAACATAAAATAAAGGAGGACAATTTAACTCAACTGTCCATGCTGAGTTCTCTATGATTCCTTTGTATGCGTCTCCTTCTTTGGGGGCAGGAATGGAAAAAAGTTAGGAGAACAGGGGAAAGGAGAAACATAAAAACATGCACTTTAAAGATTAAACAGCAAAAGGGACTGAATGGTTTCCTTCAACTTTTTGACAGTTCTTTCTTCTTACCCTTTCTTATTGATATACAGTATTTCATCCACATAACAGAGAAAGCAACCATATCTGTACTGCTGCTGTTCCAGATGTAGGACAGATTCATCAATTCATCTAAACTGAAAGTAATTTGCAACAAAAAAAATCCTATTTTTGACCAACAGTTTATTAACCTGGCATAATATATGTTCCAGCTTTCCTTCTTAGAAGTTAAATGGCAAGTGCAGGATAAAACCTACATGGTAAATTACAGAAAATGAATGATAAACACAGTATTTTGAAATATACAGTTTATTTTCCCCAAAGTCAACCAATACCATTTGTCAGTAGGTAAGTGTTAAGTATCAATCAGGAAAACTGTACATATTTTTACTCTGGGCTGCAGAAACCAAACAACAACTGGAGAAACCTGACAGTAATTGTTCACTCTACAAAGAGATCTAAAATTGGGAAGGATGCAAGGTGTAGAAACAACCATCACCTAAAGAAGTCAAAGGCAAAACATTAGCACCAGATTTTTTAAAAGCAACAGTACAGCTATTTACAGATGTATATATAACATTCAGTGGCAACCATCTTTTGGTCCCACCGAAAAAGATTTTCAGCACAATTTAAAAAGAGGAAAGAGGAGGAAACTGTGACTATATACTGCATTATGAAAAGGATAATACATAAGACTCTCAGTATTGCTATTTTCATAAGAAAAATCTAAATCAAAGTACTGTATACACGCACATTGGAATTATATTATTATTCACATTTCACATATGCACTTCAGAGTAACCACAATATGTATTATTTTTTAAAAGCCACAGGTAAAACAATGCATGCTACTCTTGACTAAAGACAAACATAATTTATTTGGGAATGATTTAGCTTTGGGTTTGTCATGGCGGAGAAATGGGTCCATGGACAAAAAGAATCACCTGCCTAGCATGAATTAACATAGCAGCAAATATTAATGGTGGGAGGATGTCAAACATCTACATTTTTTCACCTGGGTGAAGAAAAAGAAGCCAGATCCTCAGCTCAGGTGAGTCAGTAGGACCATTTGACTACAACAGAGATGTGCTGATTTACACCAACTGAAGACCTGGCCTGGGGTATATGAATTAGTGTATGAAGTAGTGTAGAGAAAAATAGTTCTTTTAGCATTTTATCTGTCTGTAAGGGGCTTGGTTTTCAAGGGAAGGTCTTGTGCCAACTCTCTGACTTGTAAGTAATTCACTGATCAATACTTCTCTGGCCCTTCGCTCCCTGGAAGATGGGGATTCTGATAAGATGACAAAGAGCCTCTTGTAAATGGTGATAATATAGGGATGGTATAAGAAGTTGACTGGTCTCATTCTTTTTATGCCCCGCCACTTTTACTGTTCAAAGAGTTTGCCTGGTGGTCACATAAGCCTTAAAAATGGTTTCTAGTTTGGGAATCTATTTGTTTGCCTAAAAACAGAGATGAAAGGTTTCCTTTATATAACTTAAATGGTATATACATGAAGCTAAGATTTCCCTTTGCTCATAAAACTGTATCTTAATATAGATAATAACACGTATGCAGAGATCAGTCCTATAGTGCTCACAGAAGAGCAAATCAACTAGTCCTATCACTGTGTTCAGACAGAACAGCTGTGGATGCTTCAGTTACTGGAAATTATCAGAGTTTCCAGTGGATGGCAGTGTTACTAACACTCCCAATATCAAAGAATCATGTCCTATCATTAAAGTGTATTTGTCCTTATGTGAAGTGAAAAAAATAACTACGTTCACAGTTACAAACCAGAGTTACTCTGAATACTGCACAGTATTTACATGGCCTAAGATTTTTATATATCATTTAGTGAAGGAAGGGATGGGGAAGAAGGAATCACTGCATGGGCCATAACCGGATATAACTTAATCATTTACATAAAAATGTAAAATATGAGGCAAATGGAAGGTAAATAAAAAGGTAGTGCAGAGGATCCATTAACTTAGTTACTAATTTCACAGATGATAGCTGTACAGGGGAAAACCCAAAACAGCAAGCAGATTTTCCAGCTACTTTTAAGTGCCAAATGAAGTGACCCAAAACTAGCACAATATTTTCAATATTTTGGAATATATACTACCATTTTGGAAGTCAAATAATTTGGTAACAATCAAAAAGGGCTTACAGCTAATTCTGTGTCTAGCCAAAAAAGGATGTTTCCTTTTTTGATATGATGGGAAAAAAAAATCTACTGACATTAGAGTTCCCAGATGTTTATCTATTCATTTGCTTTTGAGCTTCCCAACAGTCTGTACAGCATCTGAAGGTAACAGACAGCATTTGCACCTTATTCTAATAACCATTATTGTTTGCATGCACTATTGCAAGACTTCACAATATATTGAGTTTGAAGCTTAGAATCTACTTGTTCTGCCTTCTGCAGAACTTTCTATAGGCTGAGTAATAACAAATAAGTTGAAGAGTCTGGCATTAAAAAGGTCTAAAAAATTAAATACATCATCCAAAGAAGAAGAGTGTTATTGCTATCATCAGAGCTGTTTTTCCTCTGTCTGGCTCCTACTGGACAAGCCAGGGCTTGTACTTGCATATCTGGAAACTTTGCCAAACCTCCCAGCCTTTGAGTTCCTGTTCAGGCCGTCTCCTCTTATTTGAGCCTTTCAGGTTGGAGGCTGTCAGTCAGACACTTGAGTTGCTCCTCCCCCAGCTTGATCTTGTCTTCAAGTTCTCTCTGCTCAATGATGAGAGCTGACTTCATCTTCACAAAGTGCTCATAATCTGCTAAACTCTCCTCACTCAGGTAGTTGGCCAAAATGTCAAAGACGATACGCTCCCGTCGGTCCAGGTTTTCCTTCAGCTCTTTAGCATCTTCGTGCTGTCGTGTCAACAGCTTCTGCTTCTCTACCAGCGTCCGCTTAAGAAAGAGAAACATAATAAAAATACCAAGTCTACCAGCCCAAGACAAACAATTTTTCTCTTAACCTTTTAGCCAGTATTATATTTAGGTATAAGATTTTGCAGGACTGTACATAAGGGATTGAGATTGGGACAGTGTTTAATGGTGAACTTTATCTCCCTACAGACATCATTAATAGAAGGGAATTAAGCCTTACACTGAGTCAGTGAAGAATTTAGGAATATTTCTTTACTAGCTAGAGTAGGGTTAATAGTGGGAACAACTGCTTCTTTATTATTGGTTTAGAATGAATTTTAACAAGTCAAGGTACCTGTGGAAAGCAGCAGCATAAGTAATATGCATAGCATCTTGATTTTATGAAACAGTGATGAATTAATGCATTAAACCTAGTTTATATTCCTGAAACAAATTTTCAGATCTTTACACTCTGAAAATCAAACAGCTTGGGAGCTCAGAGGAGCTGACAGAGAGCCTTTGATTGCTGGTGTACTACATATTAGCACAATATATAAATTCATTCATAAGGGTTTTCGAGCTTTATTGTGATGTGCACAGTTTTCCCATTGTAAATGCAGACATGTGATCATGGGGGATGAGTGTGGGCGAGAGCACGGGTATAAGAGTTGAAAGGATAGTGCAGTCCCTTCCAGAAGAACAAGGATGTCACATGAGTTCACGTGTCTGTCCTGCTGATAACCTTGTGCCCTGCTCTCATGCAATTCAGCTGGATGCTCACTATCTCAAGGCAGAGGATGCTATGTCCAGGCCAATGCTGCTTCGATGCAGCAAGATAAAATAATAGGGAAAAAAAGGCAAACATATTTAGGAGAGGGGATAATGTCAAGAAGTTTACAGATGATGAATGTTAAACTTATATGCAAGCACATAGATAAAAAAGGTCTCATCACATTTCAAATTGAGCAATGTGCCGTAAATATATATTTCCTATGAGCGTGCCTTCAAGTGATTAATGGTACTTTTGATTTTGTGAAGTAATTCATGTAAGTTGCACTGTATCTGTCTAGACCTGAATTAGTAAACAATACAGACTATAATAAGGCTATGCAGGATTCACAACCTAGTGCAGTAACCATGGTTGTGTGAGCTGTGGCAGCCACTAGAGATCCTACTGCAAATGCCTGATGCTTCTGAGCTCAGAATCTTGTCAACAGCCCTGTCGGTCCAAGTTGGACAAGTGCCCAGTGCTTCTTTATGCTCCTCTGTGGGGGCATGAAGGCTGAAGAGGGCACGAACCTCTTTCAGTTCGGCTACTTACCAGAAACAGACACAGGGAAGAGTCTGAAAGATTTAGTCCTTTTGATGATGTATTATAGAGCTTGGAATATATCCGGATCATGCAGTTACTACTTGTGCCTGACTGCAGATTAGGGAAGAACATGGGTAAGCTTATTTGTTGGTTTCATGCTTGCATTGTTTGGAATACTAACTTGGCAACGAACCTCCGCAAGCAGAAGCTGCTCAGTTGGTGACAGACTGACCGCTTAAGAAATCTATCAAACTGTTGCCTGTTCCTGCCAGGTGCAAGGCTACTAGGCCTTACAATGTATAGACAGCACCAGTTCCAACTCATCTTGATCACCTTTCTACAGAAGGGGAAGCAAGGCCATTCCAACTGTTTACACAGCAACATTGCTGCTGTCACCTGCCATAGTCTGGTCTAAAGGATGCTGAAAGACAGGGAGGAATGCTAAATAAACCAACCTGATGGTTTTGATTTCCAAGACATATATGAAGCCTTGTGTCCACTGGGGAACAATGTTGGCCATTCTACCCTGCTGTGAATGCGTTTGTACACCAAATACTTTTGGATGACAACAGTATCAGCTGTTTTTGGGTGTTGCTGAAGTGAGATCACTAGGTCAGCGCTGTGAGGACATGGCAGGGGATCAAAACAGTTTTGCTTATCTGACAGTTTGCAGGACTGAAGGTAGAATGACCTGAACCAAAGTTGTATGGGCTGCAGGTGAAATCTGGCAGTGGACTGATAATGTGAGGCCAGTCCATACTGCCTTCTTTATCAGTAAGCAACATGAAAAGAATCTTTCCTTAGGTAAACATGCTTTTGGTGTCATGGTATCCTGCATCTCCTGAGCTCAATTTTCTTTCCCCTGGCATGCCAGGCAGCCTGTCTGGCCAAGAAGAGATAAGGTAATTGAGGCTTGTTGGAGTTTTTTGGTGAGCTGGTCCGATCCTGATCAGCTCAGCCATCTAGGCAGAGGTAGATAAGTGTTGCTACTGTGAGGAGGCAGTCAGTCAAGATTGCTTCCCCTTGTGCTGTGCACCACTTGAAAGGGATATACAGTGATAAATATTTGGCTGCATTACAAATCTAAGGTGCTTCCTATGAGTTGGGTGGAAGGATATGTGGAAGAATATGTTCAGCATTCAGGATGGGATGCATACAGAAATGCCTGAAGCTCTTGGACAGGGATACATAGCACTGCCCATTTACTGTGTGGTTGGGGAAAGCAAGGCCAGGGTGAGGCAAAGACCTTTGGCAGGGTTCAGAATGCCTTTGTTCACTGGTGGGCATTGCGAAGTTGGGGGTATCAATCAATTCTTCATGTTCCCTTGGACTCCTGTTTTGTGACCCAGGGCATCTGCCATCCAAGAAAAGGCAAGACCTGGCAGACTCAGTATGCTTAGCAGACTACTGAGTCTTGGCCAGATAGTGGGTATCCTGTGGTAGTGGGTTCAGCACTGGGTACTTCTTGGATACCATTCACAGGAGTGTTCCCATTTCCCAGGGGAGAACTTCCTGTTAGAGCTGGGATTGGGGGCATGGTCTGGGAGGAAAGGAAAAACTACTGTCAGGATAGTTCTGGTGATCATGGTGGTTCTGAGAATAAGGTGGAGGCAGGATCAAAACACACATCTCTGCATTAGTAAGGAATCACCCATCAGTGATGAAGATGCTACTATTGTTGTTTGGTGTTTTTTCCTACCATCAGTACCATGTTACTAACCCTGAGAAACTGAAGGAGGGTTGAAAAACAGACTTCAAATCCTCTTTATGCAATTGGTACAACAGCTGCTCCAAAATCTTGTTTCTATTTGGTATGGATGTGTTATTTGATATCCATAGCAGATTGCAAGGGGTTTCTTCTTTAAAGATTGATGCTGATGATGTTGTTTTTGATGTTCTCAGTGCTAAAGATGAAGCTTGTGGTGCCTTATGGGCATTCTCTGACATTTCTTCTCCTTGCTGCTGCCAAGTATACCTGATTGCTAGGGCCCTTTCTGAGGATAGTCTTAATCGGTTGTAGTTTGGATGAGGCGACGTCTTTAGTGCTGGAAGTTATCTTCATTGGCAGCCCACAGAGGTGTCATTTAAGCTTTATTTCCAAACATGGGAGGAGGAAGATTGGAACATTAATGTGAATGTGATCTTCCCTAAAGCAAAAAAGGGACATCTGATGTACTTATCATTTAGAAGCCTTTACAGAAAGTGTAGGGTAAACCCTAAGGTTTAGATTCTGCCAGATCTAATAAACTTCAACATGTTGTCTGTCACAGTCCAGGTATCATTTTATTGCCAGGGGTGGTAAGAGTGAATTGAGAATAAACTGGGACTGCTCTGCCACTTTTACCACTGTGAGGGAACAGGGTACCCATGCAGCCTGAAGAGACTTGGAAGATTCTGAGCTTGTGAACTTTATGTGCTGCTCCACAGTAGCCACAGAACTTCTGTTCATGTAAAAGAAATCACACACTAAAAAGAATTTCCCTACAAAAAATAATCCAGTAAAACGGAATTAAATTCAGAATGACTTAAGCCCAAAAGTGAGCATTCAGAAGCAAAACCAGAAGAGCAGTGTAAAAAGAAAAGAAGTTTCAGCTAAGGTCTCACTTCAAAGTGACCACTGTAAGAGCAGGTACTTGTGAGGTTGGGTCATATT